TTACTTAGAAAACGCTTCCGAATATAAAATCGATAGTATTTTTATTGAGTCTGCTCATAAAGTATCGTAAGAATGACTTACTTTTTGTGGCTCTAACACTATAGTTGGCTCGTTCATCAAATGGTCATTATCCTCAAGAGAAACATTTATAAAACTTGTCTGCGTAAGAGTACTAATTGTATTGTTAGTTAATCGTCTGTTTTCTTCTAGCTGTCGCTGTTTGTTTAACTTTTCGTCGCAGAAGAACTCCATTTCATACCTATGGAATCGAGTAAAATATACAGTTTTATTATGTTCATCTTTGAATTATAAGAGAGTTTCGCACTTACCAACTGACAAACACTTCTCAAGTCGACAACGTCTACACATTCGACGTCTATTTTTAAATTTTATATCGCACTTGTTAGTATTAGTTAAACATTTTAGATCGTTCTACAAAAAGAAGACGACAGAATTATAAAATTTAGTAAGATAATTACATGATCGCTAGCAATTTACCACATTATGAGAGGCATTTCTATGGAAGAAAGATTTACATGATTCACAGGAAATTACATTGAAATTGTACCCAGAACATTTATCATCACATATTACACAAGTTAAATCTGTTTTACGACGTTTATATGATACTTTTGTTGTGTTTTCAGTAGATTCAGGGATCTGGAAAATATATCATTGTAGTTGATATTGTACACATGTGATTTCAAAACACTTACAATACTTCTTGTTATACCAGATAATTCACCACAGTTCTCTGATTTTTGAATAATAGAGAGAAGATTTTGAAATGTTTCATCATTTCCTGTAATAACGATTAAATTAGTCTTCTGATTTTTGGTAACGCTGTTGTTGGTAGCCATTTTCCTTCAACGAATAAATTTTGATTATTCTCTTTTCTTTCGTGTTTTTTTACGAACACAGCACGAAAGCGATGAAAAAAATTGCGTACCACGTTTTACCGGAGCTTGTGAGTATTTTTTTTCTGTCTTTATCAGTGACAAATAAAAAGAAAGACAAATGATGAAACGTTGTTTTTTCTTTTCTGTTCTATTCTGTTTTATTCTGGGCACGTATTCTGAGGACGTATTTTGTGCACGTATTCTGCGGACGTATCCTATGCTCGTGTTTTGGACACGTATTCTGTGCTCGTATTCTGCGTACGTATTCTGTGCTCGTATTCTGCGTACGTATTCTGTGCACGTACCTTTTTGCACTAAGGAGATTTGTATGCCACGTACAGATAGAATGAAAAAACTTGCGATATATAAAAAGGTAACGAAATTCATTGTATTCAATAAAGCAACGAAGAAGTACTTACAATCAATTTTTGATCAACAGAGCATTAAGTAAGTTGTATTTAGAGATTGTCGACAGAATATTGACTTTGATTTGTACACAGTTATCATGAGCAAATTAATTCCACAACCTCAACCAACGTTTTTGATTGGAAATTTGAAAGAGATAGATTCTACTCATGGTTTAGAGTCTCTGAAAAGATTGCACAAACTGTACGGTGATATTTATCGATTGACCTTTTTTAACAAAAGTTTTGTGGTAGTTTGTAGTCAAGAAATTGTTAACTTTGTATGTGACGAAACAAAATTCGATAAAAATGTTAGTCAAGCTCTAGAAGAATTGAGAGCTGCAGCTGGCGATGGACTCTTTACTGCACATACGTCAGAACCAAATTGGAAACTTGCTCATAAAATCTTAATGCCTGCTTTTGGACCACAAGCCATTCGAGATATGTTTCCAGCTATGATGGATATATGTACACAACTTATTCTTCGATGGGAACGATTTGCTGGGGAAGAAATTGATGTTTGCGATAATTTGACTCGTTTGACGTTGGATACTATTGCTTTATGCAGTTTCAATTATCGATTCAATAGTTTCTATCATAATACAATGCATCGTTTTGTTGATGCTATGATAAATGTTCTTATTGAAAGTGGTAAACGTGTTGGACGATTTTCTTTGCAAAATACACTGATGATGACAACTGCGCGTCGCTACAAGAATGATGTTGAATATCTTCACAATCTATGCGATGAAATTGTTCAAGAACGTCGTAAAAATCCAAATGATGTTAATGATTTACTTAATCGAATGATTAATGGTAAAGATCCAGAAACTGGTTATCAATTATCTGATGAAAATATTCGTTATCAAATGTTTACTTTTTTGGTTGCCGGACATGAAACAACATCTGGACTTCTTTCATTTACATTATATTATCTTCTCAAGAATCCACATGCTTTACAAAAAGCACAAGCAGAAGTCGATCTATATAATGAAATTACAGTTGATACATTAAGCAAATTAAAATATATCGATGCAGTATTAAAAGAAACACTTCGTTTACAACCTACAGCACCAGGATTTAGTTTAGAATCGAAGATAGGTGATATCATGCTTCCAGGTGGTTACATAGTTGACAAAGCCGATATGATACTTGTTCTTTTGTCTGGATTACATCGTGATCCAAAAGTATGGGACCAACCAGAAGAATTTATTCCAGAACGAATGCTCAATGGTGGATTTGAAAAACTTCCACCAAATTCATGGAAACCATTTGGCAATGGGCAACGTGCTTGTATCGGTCGACCTTTTGCATGGCAAGAAAGTCTTCTTGCTATTGCACTTATACTAAAACATTTTAATATTGAATTTGTTGATCCATCGTATGATCTTCGTGTTAAAGAAACCTTAACAATCAAACCAGATGGTTTTAAAATACGAGTTCGACCACGTCAACAAATAGGATTTCTACTTAATACAAATGTCAAACTATCAGAAAAAATACCAGAAAAAACAAAAGAACAAATTGATAGAGAACATCTTCGACCAATGTGTATTCTTTTTGGTAGTAATTCTGGTTCTTGTCAATCTTTTGCAGATACATTAGCATCTGAAGCACCTCTCTATGGTTATAATGCAACTGTAGCTAATCTCGATTCTTCTATTGGATGTCTTCCAAATGATCGACCTATTATAATAATAACTGCTTCATATGAAGGTAAACCATGCGACAATGCCAAACAATTTGTCGCTTATCTTGAATCAAAACCAAAAATAGAAATCAATTATGCTGTATTTGGAGCTGGTCATCATGATTGGGTTGATACATATCAAAAAATTCCAACTTATATTGATCAGATGATTGAAAAAATGGGTGGTACACGAATTATTGAACGTGGTGCAGGTGATGCTGCAGGTGATTTTTTTGGTGCATTTGAAAGTTGGAAAGAAAATCTGTTTCGAGCATTACGAAAAGATACTGGCGATGAAAATGTATTCAGTAACGAAAAACTTTCAATTGAAATTGTCAATTCAAGTAGACATCTTGGACAAATAACAGATTTTGGAATTGTTTTACAAAATAAAATTTTAGTTGAAGCAAATGAAATTGGACCTATGAAACGACATTTGGAAGTTCAATTACCAAAAGGACAAACATATCGTACTGGAGATTATCTTTCTGTTTTACCAACAAATCCAATTGAAATTGTTTCTCGAGTTCTTAAACAATTTCATTTATCTGGTGATACTCATATTAAAATTAATTCTTCTACGAATACATTCTTTCCAACAAATTATCCAGTGAGTGCATTTGATATATTAAGTGGTTATGTTGAGTTAGCTCAACCAATCAGTAAAAAGCAAATTGAAATCCTTTCTGGATTATGTAAAAATGAAACAGAACAAATAAGTCTTACAAATCTGGCTGGAGATGAATATGAAAAAGAAATTCTTGATAAACGAATAAATATTTTGGATATTCTTGAATTATATCCATCATGCAAACTTTCATTTGCACAATATCTTCGAATGCTTCCATCACTTCGTGTTCGTCAATATAGTATTTCTTCATCACCTTTATGGAATTCTGAAGTTGTAACAATAACATTGGATATACTCAATAGACCATCATTAAGTGGAGTTGGACAATATTATGGTGTTGCATCGAATTATCTTGCAAATCTCAAAGAAGGTGATCATATTAGTTGTAGTGTTCGAGCAAGTAATGTTAAATTTCATCCACCTGAAGATACAACAATACCTATTGTTATGATAGCTGCTGGAACTGGAATTGCACCATTTCGTGGATTTATTCAAGAAAGAGCAGCTCAATTCGTATGTGGAAGAGATATTGGACGAACAATTCTTTATTATGGATGTCGAGCAAATGAAGATTTTTTGTATTCAGATGAATTAGATAAGTGGTCAAAATTTGGTGCAATAGAAGTCAAATCTATTTTCTCTCGTGAAAAAAATGATGATAAAAAATATGTTCAAGATTTACTTTGGGAAGATCGAAATGAGATTGCTAAATTGTATTCCAATGGTGCACGATTTTATACATGTGGTAGTGCTAACAAATTAGGTACATCAGTGAAAACATGTTTTGTCAAGATCATTGCAGAAATTAAACAATGTAACGAAGTTGAAGCAGGAAAAATTCTTGAAGAAACTTCACTTGATCGATATAGTGTTGATGTTTTTACATAAAACTATATTTATTTCAAACTTTTTTTAGCTGTAACTTATAGATTCTCAATAAATATTTCTTATTTAACTTTATTTAGCGATACAAAGCATTTTAGAAGCTAGAAGAATTTGTATTATTGTTTTCCTTTTCTATACTGAATTATGGTGAGTGTGAGAGTGGGTGTGGGTGACTAGAGTGTGGGATGTGGGTGTGGATATGGGTAAGGGACAAATGAAATATTCACACCCTCAATCATAAATATAATTATTTGTTTGTTCAGTAATTGTTGAATGATATGATTCGTGTAAAAGATTTTGCTTATTGATAGACATGACTCAACAAACACTTTCAATAAATAAATATTCTGATCTAAATTCAACATAATTGTTTCTTTTTTTCATAGATGTTACGGAATGAAAATAAACATAGTCACAAATGACAAGAAAAAGAGAGAAATCTATGTTCTTCTTTTTACGCAATAGGCCAGACGACGAAAAAAAAACAGTTGGTAGTTATATGGGAGTAGACGAAAAATGGAAGATAGTCTGATTGAGATGACTCTGTATGAAATATTCTTTTCTCTTAATCACTAGCACTTGGATCAGCTTTAATGCCAGCATGAGATTGTCCCAATCTTTTTAATGCAAGTATGACACTAGCACTAGCCAGACCTCGAAGAATATTGATACTAGCTCCTTTATAGAAAGCCATAACACCTTCAGTTCGTAAAATTTGGAACATACAATTCATTGAACCTTTATATTTAACTGCTTCACCTGATGTCATCATCATACGTCGTCGAATAGTATCAACTGGATATGAAATAAAGTAAGATGTAACTATGATACCAAAATAAAGTGAAAATAAAAGCGTAATATTATCATTAGGACCAACTAAAATTGGTTTAAATGTATCATAAAAACCAAAAACGCATCCACAATAAATACTCGTCTCAACACATGAAATAACAAAGCCACGATAAAGACCGGCAATACCATCGGTCGCCAATGTTTTTTTATAGACATCAACAGGACCCTTGTATTTACGTTTACCACCTCCCTTCTTTGTACTTATAACATCATTAGCCAAACGTGTACGAGCATAATCAAGTGGGTAAACAAAACATAATGATAATACACCAGCTGTGCTACCAATTGCTATATTTTTAGCAAAATTCACCATATGTGAGTGATTTTTATTTTGTTTAAACATTACGCGAAGTTTATCTGCGAAGGCAAATTTGATAGACTAAAAATCATCATCACTTAATTTTTCTTCGATTAATAATTATCAATTCACACAAATTTCAATAGATAACGTTTGAATACAGTTAGTTAGATTACCGCGCTAGAATGACAAGGTACCTTGATTTCTGAAAGTTTGCATGATACAATCAATAACACCATTGTATGGTCGAATAATGGTACCTTGTTTCAGCATTTCATTTTGGCATTGAAGGAGTAATTTTACACGTTCCATAGGTGCAACTACTGTAATTGGAATAAAATCATCAACAAGATGAAGAATTGTGAATGGAAACCTTTTGATGGAATCTAATTTGAGTTGATCTTCTTTTTTCTAAACAAATATCTTATAGAAATAGATTTTAATAATAGTTCAAAACAAGATTATTTACCATTGACATTATCCTTTATTATGATGTTAATGCGAAAAGAAAAATATTTAAACTTTAGAGTTGAATATCGAGGAAGTGATGTCAGGAGTGTATTGAGACACCTTTGAGTAATCTGATTAAATGAAGCGTGGTGAAAAGTACCAATCAAAGATAAATGCAGACATGGTAGCGATATGTAAAATGAGAGTGAACGCACGAGGAAAAAAATACTATGGTGATAAACTATAATCTAGTATCTATGATACGTATTTTTTTTCAACATAAAATGAGTCCCAACGAAAGATGGCACCAGCATAAAGGCTCATGCGTAGATGGCGCACGTATCGCTTTTTTATTTTACTTCGTATGAACGATATAAGATTAGATATATAGAATCTCATTATTGAGTCCGGATTGGTTTGTAAATATTGATACTATTTTTTGTCTAAAAAATAATTCTATTTCCAAAAGATTAAAAGTGAAGATACATTATTAGAATATGTTTCTTTATTATTTATTAAGGGTAGGTGTGAGTACGGGGTATACGCATCACATTAATATCACATTCACACCCACACTCTCAACGATAACCTTTTATAAACCCATGCTTTTTGACTCTGATACACATATACATATAACCCTTCCTAATTGCGCGAATATTCTTTTAGATTTGATTGAAGAATTATGTCTTTAGCAGAAGTAATTAAAAATTGGACACCATCACCATCTGCATCTAAATAGTTAAAACTTTTTTAAAAAGAAAATCATTTTTTTTGTCTTTACTATTTGCACAGCTAAAATGTGAATAGATAATCCGATCACTATTTGAATTGAGATCGACATACATTTTAAGGATAAATTCTCGTGCAGCTTGTCCATCACGTTTAGGACCTAAAATTGAAAAGTGAAGTTTTTTAGTTATTAAATTAATGAATTTTACCATCAAATTCTGGAAAATAATCGACCAAATGTGAATACATGATTTTTTCTTCAAGTAGATCTTTTTTGTTCAAAATAAGAATCACGGGAAAATTCCTATACCCTCGATTAGTTACAATTGTATGAAATAATGCTATACTCTCTTCCATTTGATTCTAAATTTTAGTGTTTTTATTTAAAAACAAAACATTCGCTTTATTTACTTCATTGTCCGACTCAACAAGAACATGATCGTATTCATCTAATGCGGCAAGAAATATTATCGCAAAGGCATTATCAAAGTAACGAATCCACTTTCGATGTTCTGATCTTCGTGCACCATTTTTAATAATTCTATTTTAATAAATAAATTTATTTTATATTAAAAATATATTATTTATTTACCGGAAAGTAATATTTTCAAAATCAAATGAATATTCAGTAATTCCATTAATAAGGATTCGAGCACATAGGATATCTTGTTCAGTTGATAAATAATCTGGCGCAGCAATTCGATCGATGCTATCCAAGTAACTTAACATGAAGAATTCTTTGATTTATTTATTTTATTAAAAAAACTGATTTTTACTATTTAGCTGAATCTATTAATTGATATTCTCTTCGTCTATCATAGCACTCTTTTATTCCTGGATCACTCCACAGACTTTTAATAGCTTCAACATATTGAGGTTCTAATATTGTCACAGTTGTATAATCAACTGATCGGACAAGTGGAGCATGTTTTTGCTAAAACAAATAACCAAAAAGAAACAAATGAGAATAGATAAAATATAAATCTAACCTCATTGTTTTTATCTCTGTATTTTATTTTGAGCGTATCCATAGCACGAATCATTGATTGCATTGCCATGAATATGTTTTGATAAACAAATTTAACAAACGAACGTTTATCTTCTTCGGAATAACCTGTACCATAAATAATACGCATTTGTTTCATAAGTGTTGATTTACCAGATCCTTCAGCACCTATTTAAGAAAAAAAAATTTGTTTATTTTGAAACAAAATAACAAATCGAAGTTTTGTACCAAATAACAGGAATATTAATTCTCGTCGTTGATTTTTTTTATCAAGAAGTAATTGTTTTTCAATTTCTCGATTCCTTTGTTTCTGTTCACGTGCTTTAGCAGACAAACAACACATCATCTTGATGAAGTTTTTTCTCTTTGTAAATATTTAATAATTTCGAGATCCAATGAATACGAACGATGATAGTAATGATAACAATTTTTATTTAAATAGGATGTCGTTTTCAAACGTCGTACAATAAATTAAACACATCATATAATGATACTAATTTTAACTGCTTTTTACGTTCTTTGCTCGTCTTTTTATATGTATCGACTGTCCTTCGCCATATACAGCGATAGACAGTGTGCATAGACAAGGTCTGAGCGCAAGAGACATGAAGGATAACATAATATATACATAATGAATAGATAAACGAAATATTTGGAGGATAGATAAACAGCATCTAACAAGGATGGATAAATAAAATATATGAAGATGAGGCTAAACACTACCCAGGTTAACCAGTCTTATCCTGCAGATTCCTATAGTTTTTTATCGGATTTCTGGTGATGGAATCATATTGGGTTCCGTAGGATTACAGATTCGATCTGATTCTTTTAGCTTAAACCGTTGATCTCCGATAGTAGGTCACCGATCGGATTCTAGAAACCTGAACCAACAAAATCCGATATTGATATTAAAACGATTATTGCGATAAATAAAAACAAAGTGTTACATGTACGCTAAATACTATACCAGTACTATTTAAGGGTTTGGATACGATTACAGGCATCTCTCACAACCGCATCTATATCCAACATCCACACCCATTCACACCCACACCCATTCACCCACATCCCCACACATACCACACCCTTATCGGGACTTTTTCTAGATAGAAAAATTTTTATGAAACAATTTAAACGAGCATCATATTTCATGACATGTTTAAGATAGCTTGTGATTTCTCATCAAACGAGTGTCATATTTTCAAGGTCTGTACGTGTTACTAAAGCTGACGAGAATAAAGCAAATCAAAACACGTTCGTCAATAATCTCTGTGTGTGTGATAGATATTCAAATGCATGTCAGACAAAAAAAAGAGTAATACAAAGATAGACGATGATTTATCTAATAGTTTTAATGCTATGGCCAATGGTTTATACGAGTTTGAATCTATATGAAACAGATCGAAAGGTCGGTAATGAACAATTACAATTTGATTGCTTGTATTATCATGTAGATAATGAGACAAGTCTTTATGATTGGCTACTGACTAATACAAGTCAGATTCTTAAGTATTGTCGTCGTCCTCTGAATGAAACAAGTATACCGCGTCTTGATTTTCTCAATCAACATCAAGATGTTGAAAACTATACATTTAAACAATTGCGTCAGTCAAATACTACTATTGATCAACTAATTTCATGGAACGCTTCCGTGGATCTTGTTGAACGATATTTCCTTTACATTGAACAATCGATCATTGATGATCTAGCATCAGAAGAAACATTCTATCAATGCACATATCCGTGGTTTGGTCTTCGATGTGAGTACAAGCCTGCTCATATATTAATCGACACAGATGATGACCCTAAGGAAAGTTTCTACAAGACAAATGACTGGTATGTTAAAGACATGATTAATACTAGCAGAACGTCATCATGTTACGTTCATTTGACATGTGATCGCGGATCGCCTATGTGTCTTGATTGGCGTGAAATATGCAATGGTCAAATCGATTGTATTGATGGCGGTGCTGATGAAAGACAATGTTTCCTTTTAGAAATAAACGAATGTGCTGATGATGAATATCGATGTCATAATGGCTTGTGTATTCCCTTAAATTTCTACAAAGATGACGCACAACATCCAGATTGTCTCGATCGTTCTGATGAGCCAACTAGTAGATCATCGTTTAGCTTTTGTTCCAAAGATCCAAGATTTCGATGCGAAGATCAAGTTTGTCGATCCAATGACATGAGCTTTTCTTGTGCTGATGGACAATGTGTTAATAATTTTAAGAAGTCATGTGTAAATGGACGAAACAACTTAGTAAAAACAGCCATGTTAGCAAAAGGAAATTTGTCGTACAACTGTCGGTTATTTATGATTTGTCATACGCTAATGATCGATAAGATTAATGGAGACTTATGTGCAAATCTGTCTGTTTTATCCAACGCCAATAACTCTGATCTGTTCATTTGTGAATCATTATTTCAATTTCCAACTATTCCTGTCCTCTATGGACATGTACGTTTTCTGTACGACAACAATCAATCGAAACTAATACAAGCGGACATAAATCTTATACTCCCTGATTACATTTGTTATGACGCACAGTTATGTGATTTTATTTCATTCACATTTCACTATCAAAATTTAACTTGTCGCCATCGTCAACAAATAGTCGAAGATACTAATCTTGGTTATGATGAGTTTTTACTATCTTTAAACAATTATTTTCGTCCTTGTGCAGCTCCGTATATAATGTCCAATGATGAACAATACATACAACATTCATCGCTCTATTGCTGCAAGAATTCATCAAAATGTATTTCGAAACATCGTCTCATGGATCGTGTACGAGATTGTCCGATGGACGATGATGAAAACTATGAACTGAGCTGTTCTTTACAAGATACACATCGTTTCAAATGCTCCGATCAAGATACAACGTGTTGGTCGCCATCAGTCGATCCTAATTCTTGCAACATATTTAATCAGAAACAAAACTTAAATGAAATACTTTTCCAAAACATCTGTGATGGAGTTGTTCATCTTTTACCACGAGAAATCGATGGACAAAGTCATAGTGATGAAACAGAATGCCAGCATTGGCCATGTGATAATATCTACACGAGATGTGATAGTTTTAAGGCGTGTCTAGATGGTAGCGACGAGTATGATTGTTTGGAGACTCAGTGTCCTTTAAATCTTTATCCATGCATCTCACCAATAAATTATACAATAATTTGTTTATTAATGGATCAAGTCGCTGATAATATTATCGATTGTCTTGGAGCAACAGATGAACTGCAGTATTGTTACATATCGCATGCTGAAACAAATGATCACTGCTGAAACGTTACTGATTGTATATCTCCTGATCAATTATGTGATCACTTCAGAAGTTGTCCTTCGCTCGTTCATAATAACTTTTGTCAAAGTCATGAGAAGATATGTCTGGATAGTTCGTATAGTATTGATGAAGCAAGAGATATATTCTGTTCATTAGCAGAGAACAAAAACACAATTAAATACTTTTCATTGAAGACCGCTCGCATCTATCCTCTATTGGAAGAATCTCTTTCTGCTGTTCAATTCAATCAACAACAAGTCAAACATCAGTCTTTTATGAAAAACATTCAATTTATCCCCGAGACTATAGGATGGATACGTCATTGTCCTCATGGACTGAGTGTTGTTGCCTGGCAAGGTGGTGACACCGTCATCAACCAATGCTTTTGTCCACCAAACTACTATGGTGATCTATGTGAGTATCAAAATCAACGAGTTAGTTTGACATTGCGTTTGCTGCCTGTTAGTCGACGCAGTTTTTATGCGTTTGTGGTGATATTGATTGATGAATATGGTCAAATTAACTCTTACGATCAGTTTTCATTCATAACTACATTAGGTTGCTTCAAGAAATTCAATATCTATCTGTTGTATTCCACTCGACCTAAAGATATATCGAAGAACTACAGCATACATATCGATGTCTTTGACAAATATACACTAGCATATCATGCGAGTTGGCATCTATTGATTCCATTTAGTTTTCTACCCGTAAATCGGATAGCTGCAAATCTGATTGTACCATTTCAAAGCACTCGAAGTTTCAAAACTTGTCATTTGACATGTAAGAACGGCGGTGAATGCATGCAGTATATCAATGTAGAAAAGTTTTTTTGTCACTGTTCTTCGAATTGGACGGGCACATTTTGTGATATACCTGTTGATTGTAATGATTGTTCGAATGATTCAGCGTGCGTAGGCTCATGGAACAGTCGATCTATATGTGTATGTCCTGATAACAAAATTGGTCCACGTTGTCTCATACCATATATTCGTCCAGCAGATAAGTGTAACAATAATGGTCAGTATGTATTACTCAACGACCATATCAACGATGACCGATACTTTTGTAGCTGTTTCGATCGATTTTACGGCATTTCATGTGAGCATGAAAAGAAGAAATTAGAGATTGTTTTCAATAATATGGACGTTCCATCATACATTCTGAGCTATATTATTACTCGACGACCAGACGATTCATGGTTTACTGCAATTTCCATCAAAAAATTAATTCACGATCAACAAGTCGTTACATTGTATAATGCAGAGGACATTCATATGGCATTTATCAAACACTCATCTGATTATTATTTAGCTGTAATACAGGATACATCTATGTATCATGAAAGTATCTTGACATTGATTACTCCTAATCAGCGTTGTTTACGTATCGATGAACTATTCAATTTGACTCTGTTACGATTACCACGTATCCGACGCATAAAATACTATCATCTACCATGTCAAACTCGTTTAGATTTGTGGTGCTTTTTCGATGAAATCTACATGTGTGTGTGTACATCAGACAATCATACGAATTGTATTAAATTCGATCATGAAGTATCATTTGCCTGCAAACACAACGATTTCTGTGACAATGGTGCATCATGTTTTCAAGATGATATCACTTGTCCATCTAGTACTATATGCATTTGTACCGATTGTTATTTCGGTACGCGATGCCAGTTCTATGCTAAAGGTTTTGGTTTGACACTTGATGATATTCTCCGTTATGAACTTCGACGAAATTTCTCATTGTCTCAACAACGAGTGTCAATAAAAACGAGTGCTATAGTGACAATGTTCATGTCCGTGCTAGGCCTGATCAATGGAATTTTATCCTATTTGACCTTTCGTCGAGAACGATCACAGCAAGTTGGGTGTGGCATGTATTTATTTGCATCATCGATCACTTCAATTCTTATTATGATCATATTTATAGTCAAATTTTGGTTTCTGATTCTATCGCAAATTGATTTAATCATCAATCGAACGATTCTTCAGTTGGGCTGTAAGTTGAT